CTATCTATCTATCTATCTATCTATCTATCTATCTATCTATCTATCTATCTATCTATCTATCTATCTATCTATCTATCTATCTATATATGCAATCCAGAAACGGTAAGGATTATATGATATCAGATAGATCACTACTGATCCACAATCTGAGCCTGTTATAGAATTGGCTTAACACATAACCAGTCTATTCATTCTACTGACCTGACTATCCACTGGTGTAGTAAGTAGTTGCTTGGTTTAGTAAATCAATGAACATGTTTCACGTGAGTCGTCCAATCCTACAACAGTTATCTTTCGCTACCAAGTGCGGAGCTTTTGTACAAGAAGCGATTCGTTCTAACAAAGTAAAGCATTAAATGCCCGTGCGAACTACTTCTATTTTCACTCGACCACATATTCCCATAAACAGGTTGCAGTATCGATTAACGAAAAATTCACATTCAAATCTCATTGACCTGCGAATAATGATGTGGATTAGTTGACATTGATTTGAAACGACCATCTTTTAGACTTTGCCTTCACACAGTTCATTCGGTCACACAGAGACTCGAGTTTCAATCTACTTAGAGCGTATTCACTGTCCCGACCGGTTTTCGCCCTGTATACCTACCTCACAGAAGGCTTGCGAGTTACCGCTGTACTAACCAGCTAACACCGTGGCTGGACGGAATCGCCAACTGATGTTTTGTCTTGCATTTCTTCTTTTGTTAGATGTCTGGTAAAGAAGCCTGAAGTCGGAGAAAACTTACAAACGGTGGGATCAAAACTTCACGTTTTTCATTCCCAGATTATGTGATCAGGGGTTCACGAAAATACAAACCTCAGTGAGCAAGTAGCTGAAAATCCATCTCGGCGATTGGAGTTAACAGGTTGTCATCTGTGTCTCCTCCCTTCGTTGTTGTCGGGCCAAATGAACTATCACTGAAGACAACACCTGAACAAACGTGACTTGGCAATTTGGTTCGGCCACGGCATGAGCTGGTTGGCAGTGGTAACGCACAGCTTCAGTTTCAGTTTGAACAACCATTAACCATGCACTTTCGTGCGCCGGTTTTAGTTGCTGTCTTTTGGCTGCCAATTGGGATGAAGAATAGGAGAAGAAAGGAAAGTTGAAAGTGGAGTCGAAATTTTTTTTTCGAAGTTCAGTGGACTAAGGTTGCAAAGGAATTGAGGAGATGCACGAACGCCACTGTTTACGACACCCAGCCATATCGCTCAGTGTCTCTAACCATCGGTTACGATCACCCCGAGGTCCCCAGCCAGGGAGCCTAACAGGACCTATGTGACCCAGTTTCCTGGTTAGGGTTTGCATACCCTCGTGCCA